CCCCCCCCACTCCTCTCCCCCACTCTGGGCTTCGGCCCCCTTTTGACCATTGCTCTGGTTGCCTGGCCGATTTTGCCTCTTTCCCATCCACCCTGCTCCACCTTGCGCCTGGGGGGAACGCGGGGGCATCTGCCCGGCCGCCTGCGCGGCTCATGATCCCGCCCAAATCCTTCTCCCCCTTTCGCCACAATCCCCTGCTGGCCCCCCTCCAGGCGGCCGGTGGCACTGCCCCCCCCGGCATGCCCCTGGCAGGGGCCGATAGCGACACCGACACACAGCCCATTGGGGAGGAAATCGATCGGCGGATGTCTCCGCCCCCGGGCCCGGGCGGCGGCTCCCTGCCGCGCGGGGATTCCGGGCTGTCGACGGCCGAGCTGCTGGAGATTGAGCAGCTTTTCTCGAGCTTCGACTCCGACGAGGCGTGCATCTCCCTGGTCGGTAACGGGCCACCCGGCATGCCCCCGGCCAGTGTGCCTCTGCCGGCGCTCGGGACCGACCGGCCCCACTCCCCGCTACCGATGTCCCGGCCGCCGCTCCCGCCGCCACCACTGCCACCATCGTCATCATCGACATCGGCAACGACATCGACATCGTCGTCGCCACCGCCGCCGCCGCCGCCGCCGCCGCCGCCCGCGCCGTCGCTGCCGCCGCTTCCTCCGGCGACGGTTCCCTCGCCACTGGTGCAATCATGCCCCCCGGAGCCGCACATTCCCTTTTACCTGGCCATGATCTCCTCGTCGTCGGTGACCCCGGCTCTGTGGGCCTCGGCCGCTGCCGGGCCCGAGGATATCCCCACCGCGCCGATGCATGCCGCGCCTCCCGGGAGGGCTGCCTCCCCGAATGTTTGCGCCGGGACCGTTGTCAATGTGGCCCTTCCGCCCCCGTCACCGATCCACCTCTCGCCGATGCTTGCCGGTCTGTCTCGTCCCCCGAGTGCCGGGTATGAGCTCCCCACCTCGCTGTCGGTCAGTCCATTGGCCATGGGTCCCGCGCCGCCAGTGTCAACATCGGCCCCGGCCCCGGCCCCGGCGCCCTCGGCCGTGACAGCATCGCCGCTTGTGCAGCCGGGCTCCATGCCGCGCGCCGCCCCCCTGCCACCGACGCCAATGTCGATGTCCTCGCCGCTGCTGGCTTCCTCCGCATCGAATGCATCGTCACCGGGCCCGGCGGCACTGGCCTCGGCGCCGCCACCAACGGCCCTCGTGCCCCCGGCTGCCGAGCCGTCGGCCGATCCGCCTTCTTCCCATGCCGCGGCGATAGACTCTCCCCTCAACTCCCCGGCATCGGATCCTGCTCCTGCCATGGGCAGCACCGATGCAGCGTCGTCGAAGGCTCGTCCAAGAGTCCCCCCGGCGCGAAGGCGGCGCCAGCGGAGCCGGATTGCCAAGAAAGCCTTTCTTCAGATGCAGCAGGCCGCGCTGGCACCGCTGTCAACGACATCAGCCATGTCAGGGGCCCATGCGGTCCCGGCGATCGCCACCGCGACCGCCGCCGCTGCCGGCATCACCACCAGCGCAGGCGCCAGCAGCAGCGCCGCCACCAACAGCCACAATGGCAGCACCGCCCTCGGCATTGCCGCCGCCGGTGCCAGTGCCGGTGCCCTGCCCGGCGCCGCTGCCATCGACACCGACATGACAGCCACTTCCGAGACATGCCCACAGCTTCGGGAACCACCGCGCACACGCGCCTCCCCTGTGGCCACTTCGTGCTCTCCGCTGGCTGCGAATCCTCCCCCCACGTGCGACGTCTGCCGCGAGGCATTGGTGCCCGCCCATGCGCGCAGAGACTCCCAGCGGCGGGTCTTAGAGCGGGTGTGCCGGCTGCTGCGCGCGACGGCGCACAACCTGCGGACTTCACGCACTCCGGGTCAGTACCTAGATAGTCAGATTGCCCAGATCCTGGGGCTGCGCAGCCAGCTGCGGGACCCACCCGACACCGGCCCAGAACAGCCATGCCACGGAGCTGGCGGCCCCTCATTTCCTGCCTCCTCTGCACACCCCCATAGATGATGGCCCCTGGGAATGGATGTTGTTGTTGTTGTTGGTTGTTGTTGTTGTTGTTGTTGGTTGCTGGTTGTTGGTTGTTGGTTGTTGGTTGTTTCCCTCCCCCCCCCCCCACATCCAACGGTTGATGCGTCGGTCTTTCAAATGTATTTTCTCTTGGGCTGTCGGCGTCGCGACTCGTTTTGCCCCTCCCCCGGGCCGGGGTTCGGGCGAGGGGGGAAGATGCACGCCCAATAGATACACACCCAATAGATGCACCCGACATACACATACACGTGCCATGCTCGGCTTCCTTGGCATGCGCACCTGGGACCTCGCGCTATCGCACATTCGATGCAAGGTGCGCGTGCACACACACACACACACACACACACACACACACACACATACATACATACACACAAACAGACGCTGTGACAGCCGTGTCTCCTCCCGCCCACTGGGGGCGGATGTGCCGGCTGAGTGCTGCCGAAGGGGCGGCCGCCCCGGCCCTCAGTCGATATGTTGCATCAGCATGACGCGCTCCTCGGAGAACGATTCAATGGCCCGGCGTGGGCCTTCGCGGCCGATGCCGGAATCCTGTGTCCAGGGCGCACGCCCGCATGTCAGTATCCGGGTGCCGCGCGGCTCGGCTCGGCTCGGCCCAAACCGACCGGGCAGTCCCAGGTGTGCGGCTGGGAGAAAGCACAAGGAAGTGGTGGCGCCAAGGGCAAGCATACCTTCAGACCGCCATAGGGCTGTGCATCGGCCCGGGTGTTGGACACATTGTTGACCACAAGGCCGCCCACATGCAGCACGCGGAAGGCCTTCTCAATCTGGCATAGTTC